ACCAGGTTGCTTGGGTGTAGCCTCTAAAACAGATCACCTTTAATCAAAAGATTAAGTCTCAGTATTGTCAGAGGAATCACCCTGACTGTATTAGCCTTCAATTACAAGAAATATAAACTGACATCTTGAACTGTTTGCTTATTTTAGTCCTCAAAGGAGTTAAAAATTTATTACTTGAAGTCTTTGTTCTTTATCTGCTTTTCAGTAACAGAAGGTAAATGAAGTACATTTAAGAATGTGTATAAAATTATTAGTAACTGGTATTGGAAAATCACTGGGAGCTTGTGGTACTATCAATTAGTTCTCTAGGATATATGCATATATCCGCCATAATATTTACCCAACAAGGGCAGGAACCATTCCTGGCACATAGTTGGCATTTAAAATACAAGTGTTGGGGCTGTCACTGTGGCACAATGGGTTAACATCCTGGCCTGAAGCACCCGCATCCTATATGGGCACTGGTTCGAGACCCAGTTGCTCTATTTCCAATCCAGCTCTCTGCTATGGCCTGGGAAAGCAGTAGAAGATGGCCCAAATGCTTGGGCCCCTGCACCCCAGTGGGAGACCTGGAAGAAGCCCCTGGCTCCTGCCTTCGGATCTGTGCAGCTCTGGCCATTGTGGCCAACTGGGGAATGAACTAATGGTTGGAAGACCTCTCTCTCTCTTTCTCTCTCTCTCTTTCTCTCTCTCTGCATCTCCTCTCTCTGTTTAACTCTTTCAAATAAATAAATAAATCTTTTAAAAAAAACCATAAGCATTAAATGAGAAAATAAGCATAAATTTTATAGGATCCAGAGAGTTAGCATGAAGTCCTTTGGAAATGCTTCAGGCATTTCCAACTACCTGAGACTATATACATTGCTGCACACGCATTCGAGTGCATGTGTGTGAAGCATGGTGAATTTTCCCAGGGAAAGGATCTAGAGATTGCGTGAGATTCTCATGTATACTGAGTATACAAAGTATAAAAGAGGTACAGATCTTTTCTGTGGAGCTATGTGACGCTCACCTGCACATGAGCACTTTGTCCACAAGAACACTAGAGCCCTGCACTCTTTATTGATTAACAAGTCCTTGAGTGTTTACGTTTATACAAGTAGAATCTTGATTCATTTGGAATAGAAGGGCGTATAAGGGCGAGTGTGATGTACCACTGTCATAAGGTATCCTCCAGAAAATGTGCAAAACAGTGTGAATGCCTGGCAGTTCAGAAATCATGCTGGATTGGGGAATAGTATATTTGCCAGAAAACAGAAACAAATCTCTTAATTTGGGAATAGAACAAAACATCTGGTCATTTTCATAGTATCCTTATTTTTCCACATTGCTCAAAGGCATAAGAAAGTGATTCAACTGAAATATGAAATTTTGGAGTCTGTGAATAAATATACTGAAAATTCAGAGGATATTCACAGAGTTAACACAGAGATAAGATAAGATGTGAGGTCGCCAGGTTCAACTCATCCAAACATTGCTGATAAATAGAGGAAAACTAAAAGTAAAGATGAAAGTAGTTTATAGCTATAACTCAATGTTGTAACCAAAGCACTTGTTAAAGTTTTTTTCCCTTATTTATTTGAGAAGCAGAGAGACATACAGAGATCTCCCATCTACTGGCTCATTCTCCAAATGCCTGCAAGAGCCACTCCAGAGGAAGCCAGAGCTAAGGAATTCAACCCAGATACTCCATGTGGGTGGTAAGGACCTAACTGAAGCCATCACCTGCTACCCTACGTAGTGCATATTAGCAGAAATGTGGAACAGAGAACCAAACTAGGGCTTGAACCCAGACACTCCAATATGGGTTGCAGGCACTCCAACCAGTGTCCTAACCGCTAATCCAAATGCCCATCCCTCAAAGCACTTTTCACAAGGGTATGCTAGGCTGGCACAATGATTGCCTCTTTATATACTGAGACATGGAAACCCAGAGCTGCTGAAGTCTTGTCTCCATCATAGAACTGTTGAAGAGGGAGGCTGAGGCATATCCAGACATCTCCCACTTCTAAAGACTGTGTTCTTTGTGCAATATTTTATCAGAATAAATATTAGCCTTTATCTTTCTTAATTTCTGGATGTGTTAATAAATAATCATTCATTGACATCCAGAAAGATCAAAGTGCTGAGGGAATGCAATTCATTCCTATCCCTACTGTTGTGGAATTCACATGTTGGTTGATGGGCAAAGTTGGAACGTAGGAAACTTTAAGAAAAGGAGCAAAATAAGAAACGTGGTCTTATGGTTCTTTGAAGCTATTTTAAAAAGTAAAATGTTATGTTAAGAGTTATGTGGTATATCTCTGTGTGGGTGTAATTATTATTCTATTGATTTATTGCATACATGTCACAGAGTATCTGGGCATTTGTACAAGTTAAAACAAACCAACCAAGGAGCCAAGCCACACAGCCACAACCCAGACAACTTGCCTCCCACCCCAACCCCACCCTTCATGCTACCACCTCCCAAACACAAACTGGTAGCAAAAATCTTCCTTACAGAGATACATTGTTAATCCAGTGAGACATGTCCTTTACACCATATTCTAAGAGTGGCCTAAGCCACTGGATGGTACACGTAATTCCAAAAATCCAGCAAGACTCTTCTCATGCTAGAGTCCTCTAGGATTTGGGCAAGAGCTTTCTTTCCAGAATGACTCAGGAGTCAAATTGCAAGGCAGGATCATATATAACCCCATCTGAGGATGAGCATCATACCCATCATAGGAATTTCGATGCAGATCTTTCATTATAGGACATAATGGAACATATCTCATCCACCAACTGCTCGCCCACTAAGCCACCACACGTTAAGTAGGCAGACTCTTGTTTCCTTCTACTACTCCAAGGAGCAGGGAAGGCACTTTCAAGTGTTCCATCCTGCTGCCAAAAACACTTTGCCTGTGATTCAACAATTAGAGCTAATTTCTTCCTAAATTGTTTCCTCTAAGAGATGGACATCATTAAATAACTTTCTCTTCTGTTTCCGTATCCCAAGAGATCTTAAAAGAAGAAAAAAGGCAAGAGAAAATTGCTCGGATGTTTCCAGCTGATAAAATCATTAATCTCACCCTCCCAACTTCAAAGCAGAACACTTAAAAATCACCTCACTTTCTCCGCACATGGAGGATATTTTTTTTTCCTACTTCAAAGCATCATCACTCTATTGGGTCATCTGAATTATTGAATGTAGGACGGAAGCCATCCACATAATGTCACCACTGTCTTTTTCATGAAATATGGATAGATTTAATTTGGATTACATTAATCAGTGAGAGGTAAAATATAGGATGAGAAATAGGAAAGGGAATGAGGATAAGGTAGGGAGAGGAAAAGCCTTTGTGAACTGACTTTGTGAGCTGGTTCTGCTCCTCCTTTCCTCCTTGGGAGGAACCACCAAAAAAGACCTGATTGCCATCTGTGGCAAGCAGATTGCTTTCCATCTTAAATCACCCCTACCAGAAACACAGCAACACAACTGTGCCGATTTTATCAGTTTTCCTGGTATTATTGACAAATGCCACTAAATTTTAATGAATTCTAACTTAAATAACCAGGTGTGGTTAGTGGCTACAGTATTACCACACTGAGACACTATTCACTGTTGCCTAGTCACATGAGACACAAGCCGCCTTCTTATTTATGGCATAAATTAAATTTTGTCTCAAAAAATAAAATATCTATGACTTCACAAGTACAATGGAACCATACACAGCAAAAAATGATGTTTTTTAAAATGTGAAATAGCTACATCAAGGCCAAAGCAATCATTTTGACTTGGTACAATCTAGTAGCTGATTATTAGTCAATGGTCAAGTGCCCAGGAGCTGACTCAGGTCCATTTCAAAACCTATCCAATTCAAAATCTGTTTCCTTTCTCTTATGGACTTTATTCTGCAACTTAACTGAGGGCACAGACCTGCTCAGTGACACCACAACTCCTCAGGCAAATCCAGACATCCCCACAGACATCCCCTAAAATATATACCTGCAAAGACATGATTCCAAGAACCCAAGAGAGAACATGCATGTCAATTTAACTGGCATTCTCCCAAAGTAAGCCATGGAAGACACTGCCACAATACAACAATCAGGATGATTCACCACATTTTTTTTTCTATATCTATTGTTCCTGACACTAATTCATTTGCACAATAACTAGATTGTGTTTTCTATTTCTTGCATACCCAAAGATACAATCCAATGAGAAGAAAGAGAGGAAATAGAATAGTAACAGATGAAGGTACTTCACAAGGATTGTGCAAAATGGAATTGAAAAAAATCAGTTTATTTTAGTGAAAGAAATTTTGAAATGCATGCAGCTTTTTTCATAACATGTATTTCCATGGACTTTATGAAGACCCTCATATATCTGTTATTCTTCTGAGTATGAATAAGAAATAAACCAATGTTTCCCTTAAGAAACTCATACAAGGCCAATGTTCTTCAGTGAGTAAAGAATCTTTAAATTAAAAGGTATTCCTTGGTAAGAAAGAAAACGGAGGCCACACATGCCATAAGGGGAACATGTACAGATGATGTACAACAAAATTAGATAATGTCCTAATTATTTTAGACTTTAGATAAAATGAAGTCATCCCAGATTCAAACCCTTATCTGGGATTCCCAAATATAAAGAGCTCTGAAAATGACAAACAAAAATTCCAAGTTGAAGCAAAGTTCTTTGTGACACAATCTGACATGAACCAAGAATAAGCTACTTATATCATTATTTATCCTACCTTAGTGTGAGAATTCTTTTTTTCTGCAGAAATATTAATGTGTTTGTGTATGGAATATTATAGCAACTTCACTGAGAGTGTTGTACAATCCATAATACATACAATGGATTCTGCCTTCCAAAATTTCAAAACATTGGAATTCCAAAATACACCTGGTGCCAAGGGTTTGGATAAGGGGTCCTCTAAGGAAGGCTGCCCAGGGAGGATGTTTTCTATCAAGCATGCCCTGCTGTGGAGAATCCCAAGACAGTGCCTTACCTCCGTCTGAAGGATGGCAGCCCTCTGTTCTTTGGCAGTAAGCGACTCTTTAAGCACTTCAATGTGTTGTTTGCAATCTGAATTTTGATTGCTAAGGGTTTCAAGCTTTGTTTGTAAGGCAAGAAGTTCCGACTCCTTCTTTGAAAGTTCCTGCTTCAGCTGATCAATCTGTGAGACAACAACAGGGAGCCAACAAAGGCAATTAATGGATGACTCAACTCTACAGTGGAAATGATCATTCAAGGGCATCACTTAACAAAAGAGAATCCACAGGGAAGTAAATATATAAGCACGGTGGGTTGCTTGTCTTAAATGTTGAAAGGAAGAAAAGAACATAAAATATATGTGAGGTATAAGGAACATCAATACAAGAAGCATCCATCATTCAATTAATCAACAAAGATCAATAGAGTTATCTGTGTCCTGGCTCATTTCCAGCTCCTCTTCTCCCTCTGGGAAAACAGTTACTATCCCAAATTTTGTGTCTGTCATTCCCTTGCTTGTTTTTCAGGCTTACCATATATTTTTGCATCCATAAATAACATACCACTTGTTTCTGCATATATTGAACTATGTTTGTGCTGTGTGGTTTAGCACTTTGCCTTTTTCTATTCAATTTGATATCCTAGAGATTAAATTATGCTATTGGACATGGAACTCATTCATTTTCACTGAAGTATTCCATTGTAACATTTCATCACAATTTACTTGTCCAATTTGCTGTTGATAGACACTTGGGTTTGTTCCTGGGCTTTTTGCTATTACAAATAGAGCTATGCTAAACATGCCTATACATATTATCCAGTGCAAATAGCAGCAATTTTCCTGAATGCCTATCTACAGTTACATTGCTGGACCACATATCATGCACATCTTCACCAGATAAAGCCAAAATGTTCTCCAAAGCAGTGATATTAATTTGCAAGATCACAAGCAGCTTGTAAATCCTATATGCCAATCACTCCACATCTTCCCCAATACTGTATATCAACAGTCTTTTATGTTTTTGCCAGTCTGACATGAGTCATGGCAGAGATATTTTCCAGGAGTTCCTTCTTACTTATACACAAATGTCGCTCTTCATAACTAGAGCAGGAATCTATTCACCCTCCCTCAAGCTTGGGCAGAACTACAGCATGCTCAGATCAGTTGGGTACAGCAGGATGCCTGTTCCTTCCCTGGTCTATTTGGAGGGCTGCCGGCTTCTGCCACCTCCCACTGGAAGCTGGCTGCCATGTTGGAAGTCCAGCCATACTGGGACTGCCATACTGTGAGGAAATCCATGCCAGCCTCAAAGAGAGGCCATGAGAAAAGACCCGGGGGTAACTGTGGTCCTTTTGTCTCGTTCCAGGTCTTAAATAAGAGAATTTCAATGCTTCATCATTAAATCTGACATTTGCTTTAGATTTTCATAGACACTCTTTTAGGTTTCACAAAGTTCCCTTTTATTACAATTGTGCTGGGTGTGTTTTTAATTATTAATGAATGTTTAATATTATCAAACATTTCTGTGCATCTCATGATTTATCATATTTTTCACCTTTAATATGTTACTGTAATGATTAACATTAATGGAATTTTTAACATTAATCTCTCCTTGCATTGCTATGAAAAACATTACTAGGCCACGTGTATTTTTTTATGTTACTGGATTCAGCTGGATAATATTTTATCAGGATGTTCCATGTATGTTTATGAGTAAGACTGGTTTGTAATTTTTCTATCTTGTGCTATCCTTATTGGATTTTAATATCAATTTAGCCTTACAATTGCAGCAGGGAGTGTTCTTTCTTGTAATGTGTTCTTAAATGGTTTGTGTAAAATTGGAATATTTTCCCATTAGTGCTCATTAGAAATCACCAAAAAACCATCTAGAGCTAGTATTTTCTTTTTCCAAAGAACATTATTTACCAAATCCATTTTAATGGTCATAAAAACATTCATGTTTCTGATTAGTTGAACCAGTTTTGTAAGACTTTAACCCTTAATTAGTCCTTCCATATAAATTTCCAATTTGCAATTTTAATTTTTTTATCATCAGCATCTCTTTTAAAAAAAGATTTATTTTTACTTGAATACTAATACTTCATTTTTTATTTTTATTTCTAATGCATTTTTTCATTTCTTATATTTTGTTTTTAACCTCTCCTTTAAAAAAGATTTATTTTTTACTTGAAAGGCAAAGAGAGACACAGAGAGAGACAACAAAAGAATATCTTCCACCTACTGGTTCACTTCTACAACAGCCAGGTCTAGGTCAGGCCTGGGCCAGGAGCCTAGAACTTCATCCATGTCTCCTACATGAATAAGCATGGGGCCAAGTACTGGGGCCATCCTTTGCTGCTGCACATTAGCAGGGAGCTGGATCAGAAGAGGAACAGCCTGGATTCAAACAATGCTCTGATACGGGACACAGGGGCTTAACCCGCTGTACCACAATGCAGAGAACACCTCGCTTTTTCTTGATAAATTTCAGCAGGGTCATATCAAGTTACATAATCTATTTAAAGAGCTGATTTTTTTTTAACTTTTATTTAATGAATATAAATTTCCAAAGTACAGAATATGGATTACAATGGCTTCCCCCCTATAACGTCCCTCCCACCCGCAACCCTCCCCTTATCCACTCCCTCTCCCATTCCATTCATATCAAGATTCATTTTCGATTCTCTTTATATACAGAAGATCAGTTTAGCATACATTAAGTAAAGATTTCAACAGTTTGCTCCCACACAAAAACATAAAGTGAAAAATACTGTTTGAGTACTAGTTACAGCATTAAATCTCAATGTACAGCACACTAAGGACAAAGATCCTACATGAGGAGTAAGTGCACAGTGACTCCTGTTGTTGACTTAACAACTTGACACTCTTGTTTATGGCATCAGTAATCACCCTAGGCTCTTGTCATGAGCTGCCAAGGCTATGGAAGCCCCCTGAGTTCACTGACTCTGATCATTTTTAGACAAGGCCATGGTCAAAGTGAAAGTTCTTTCCTCCCTTCAGAGAAAGGTACCTCCTTCTTTGATAAAGAGCTGATTTTGACTGTGTTGATCATATAATTACATTTTTTCTGTTTCATTAATTATTCCTCTTATTTTTAAATTATTGCCTTCCTTTCACTTTCTTTGGGTTTATTCTATTTGCTTTCCCTAAAATTTTATGTTGGACATTTCTCTCACTTTCAGCCTTTTTTCATGTCTTAAATAACTTTTTAAAGATTATGATTTTCCCTTTCAGTACCATTTTACCATGATCTCACTAATTTGAAATGTAGTACTGATATTATTGTTTAAATATTTTTTTGAATCGCCATTATTATTTCTTCTTTAACCTACAACTAATTCAGAAGCATATTTCTTAATTTCCAAGTACACACATGGTTTCTACTTTTCTTTGTGTTTTCTATTTCTTATTTGCTTTGTGGATACAGAACATGGTCTGTTTGAAAGCAACCATTTGAAATTTGTCATGTCTTGCTTTATGATACAACATATGGCCAGCTATAAACAGTTTTCCAACAACTGTTGGGTATAATATTGTATAATTTGCATGGGCATTAGAGTACACTTTAGATTGGGTAGTTTAAGTCTTCCGTAGTTTGATATTGAATCTGTTTCATCTGCTAATTACCTAGAAGGTGGGTTAAACCCATGTATTATATGGTGAAATAATCTATGTCTCCTTGTACTTCTGCCAGTTTTTCAGCTCTAAGAATAGTTTCTCTGCCTTAAAGCCTAAATCATCTTTCTTATAGTTAATATTTGTTTGTGTGTTTTCAGACATTGAAAGATTCTTTAACTTTAGGCAGAAGATATTTCGTGGAAACAGCATATACTCACATTATTTTATTCTATCTGGCAAAATTAAGTGCAGCATTTGTTTTGTTGTTGTTGTTAATTTTATTTATGCATTTCACTTTACTTGAAAGGGTAGGGGAATATCTCCTGGTTCACTCTCCTCAAACGCCCACAACAGCCACTATGGGCCAGGCCAAAGCCAGGAACTAAGAACCAATCTGAGTTTCCCACATGCATGGCAGGGGCCCAAGTAAATGAGCCATAACCTGCAGCCCTCTAGGATACATGTTAGCAGGAAGCTGAATGTAGGTACCCCAGTGCCATCTTAACAAGTGAGCCAAACACTCTCCCCTGGAGCATTATTACAGATATATGAGGTACTTCAAAAAGTTCATGGGAAAATGGAATTGAAAGATTAAGTTTATTTTGGTGCAAAAAATATTTGAAATACATCATGGATTGTTTTTTCAAAATACGTATTTAATAGACTTTTTGAAAACCCCTCATATATGATTTTAATTCTATCATCTTTTTTTTTTTTTTTGACAGGCAGAGTGGACAGTGAGAGAGAGAGACAGAGAGAGAAAGGTCTTCCTTTGCCGTTGGTTCACCCTCCAATGGCCGCCGCTGCAGCCGGCGCACCGCGGGGGATCCTGGCAGGAGCCAGGATCCAGGGTGCTTTTCCTGGTCTCCTCATGGGGTGGCAGGGGCCCAAGCACCTGGGCCATCCCTCCACTGCACTCCCTGGCCACAGCAGAGAGCTGGCCTGGAAGAGGGGCAACTGGGACAGAATCCGGCGCCCCAACCGGGACTAGAACCCGGTGTGCCGGCACCGCTAGGCGGAGGATTAGCCTAGTGAGCCGCGGTGCCGGCCCAATTCTATCATCTTATATTGTACTTTAATACTACCATTTATTATCTCCTTCTTGTCTGTTTTTAATGAATTTTTCCTCATTTTATGTTTGCCTGATTCATTTAGTAAGTTTTGTTTTTGTTCATTGCATTTGTTATATGTATTTCTACTCTTCAGGTTATTGCTTTAGAAATTATGTTTACATCTCTAGCTTATTTAAGTCTAATATGTTTATATTCTTTCTCAATGATCTGTATGTTTAGATCCTTTCAGACTAGCATAAGAATCTGGAGATCTATGAAGTTCAGAGTCCACCCTCGTGACAGACATGTTACTGCTGTCATTAAAATCTGAGCTAGAGAAAAAGAGAGATTCCCAAAACACTCTCAAGCACCTGCAACAGCCAGGGGGCCAACGCTTGTGCTGAGACTCAGTCCAGGTCTCCAGTGTTGAATGGCAGAAGCCCAGCTCCTTGAGCCACCACAGCTGCTGCCCAAGGTCTACCTTGGCAGGCA